GACCTCCTGTTTAATCGTAGTAATGTAGAGGAACGAAGCCTGCTCGTTGAGCCACGATATTGTGCTCAAAAATTCGTAAGAAAGAAAATCGTGTTTTCTCTAAAAAGATTTTTAATACATCATGAAATGATAATTCTAATGATCCTCGGAAGGTTATTATCACGAATTTCATATCAATGAATAACGATTTCAAAACTTTTGAGAGTAATTACACGAATAAAGCTGAGAGTTCTTTAATTTAAGATAAACTGTCTAACCATGGAATAAATGAAATGGTTTCCAGCTAAAATTATAATCTGGCTGCAAGTGAAATCGAGTGACAGTACACTGCTTCCGATATACGAGCTATGGAGTGAATTTTATCGGTAACAACGAAAGCCACTTTGTACCTTAAAAGTTCCAAATGTTTCAGAAGAAACAACTTATTTATCCGATCAATCGATTATTGACGCGACATCGATTTAGTTTAAATAGTTTCTCCATACTGGAACTTACGACCGAAAACTAACCAAGGAATAAAAATTGAATTTATAATTTTAACGCTGGCGTATAAATTGATTTTGGTATTACACATACGTAATTCCGCGTGTCTATTAGAAATGAAAAAAAGTATTGATGTTAATAATTATCAGGAATTAATTGGAACACGTTCGCATTTAATATAATATTTCCGTAATGAGTTTATCGATTCACGGGTTACCGTACTTATACCATGAAAGTTGTGGTCGGAAAATTACTGCTTGGAAGCCGACCAACTCGCGTTACGTTATATAAAGGATACACACGCGAGTGTTAACCATACATTAAACGAGTTAAAAACTTTCGTCGATATTTGTCAAATTATATTACAGACAGTTCGACGCCGACGTGTACAATGATAAGTAACAATTATTGACTGCACCCCTCGGTTTGTACGAGTCGTCCTATTTAAATGTCCAACAGACAAAGCGTTTTATGTGTAAAAATTAACACAGAAAATATTTGTCTGACGTGGATTTTCCGAAAAAATTAGTTGGACGACAACAGTTAGACTTCGCCCTGATACGGTGGAACTAAATTTCGACGAGTCGGTATTCCATCAGTTGGACAATTTCTTAAACTACGAGGGCAGAGCTGCTCGAACCCGGGTTTATATCTTCTCTCCCTATAAACCGTGTTTCCCAGGGAACATCTGAGGAGGTGTAGGCGACAGGGAAGGGAACGATTTCACAAGAGAGATGAAGTTCTGTAAGTAGCCAGCGCACACGGATGCCTCGAACACGATTTGTATGTTGAAAGAAGACCCGCATAGGACAGGACGCGAGAAAGCGAGAGAGACAGAGAGAGAGGAGTAGACCGGTAGGATTATATTGCCACAGATGGGATGCAAGAGGCCGCGGCATCTCGAGAATACCAATTTGATTTAGCCAGGAATGCCGGAAACGGAACCGGAACCACGTAATGTATATAACGAACGTGGCCAACGAACCTTGCTCTTGTCACTGCTCACCGCCGGAAGTATTGTCGTCGGCGAGAGAACCGAATGCAAGGCGAAGGCACTTAGGGAACCAGTGACTACCGTTTTTTTTTTTAACCAAAATGGATCGCGAACATCGCTCGGTCCTTTACCTCTCCTCGAGTGTTCTGCAGCTTCATAAAAAATACTGATTCTTTTTGCGGTTATAAATTAATCCTCTATCTGTATTTTAAAAACACATCTGGTCGTCTACCGATTTTTTACAATCATGAACACATGAAGATTGGACATATTTAAAAAATGTATTAGATCATATGTTAATTTCAGGTTTAATCATAGTTTTAAGTAAGAAATACACAATTCTTAGTTACACGAGAACGAAAAAAAATGCATTTCATCGAACACTTCGTGGTAAATGGAAAATAAGTGTGTATACTATAAATTTTATCTCCACATGGCAACGGGATCTCCGCTGTTCTGTAGGATAGCGTACAACTGCAATTCCATCCGAGTCAATTTGCATAGGATGTTACGAACAAACCGCTTTCCGCTTCATTAACAAACGTTGATTCATCGTATTCGTTGAAGAGAAAATCACTCGGATTTCCCCCGCGCCGTTCGGTAACGTTCGCATCCGCGGCTCTTGGAACGTTTGGCTTACAAATATTTCAGATTAAGTTCATTTCGCTTAATTGCATCTACCCCTGTTTCGTGCGTTGCTTAACTGTGTGGCAAACGAGCATCCATGATTTCACGTGTACAGTTTTAAGGTAACGCGTTTCGTTCGAGTCATTATCGGTTAAAAGCGCGGAGTCGTCTCATCGACAGGGTTACTGAGATTTATATCTTACGACCGACCGTCAATTCCTTTCGCGGTGCATGTGACAAACACTTTCACTGATGCGACTTAATCATTCGTTAAAAACGTGGATCTTAAAAACGGAAATTTTAGTCGATATAAATAACTCCGGTGTAGCACGGTGTGACGGGGGATTTAGGTCAGCGATCCAAAGGGACCACGCGACCGGACTTTCTCGTTGCATCCATTTTCCGCAGAAAGTACGATTTAAATGCACCCCGACTGTGGTTAAAACCACGTTCGTAACGTTTCACTGAAACTCATTACACCCGATGAACAGAAGTAAGTCATTTAGATTACTGAAACAGAAAATCGGTTTCCGGTTTAACAGGAATCGTGCACGCGTTCTCCCCTTCCCGCGTTAACCGACTGTTCCGCGATTCGTTTTGTTTAACGCTTGTAATATTTCCAAATATTGATATGCGACTAGTCTGCATATATACCGATTAAACTTGAAATAAATTATTTCATTCATGCGTCCATCGATATCTTTATCAAATGCTTGTTCCCAAATGCAGTTGAACAGCGAATTTTTTTAACATTTGATCAACTTTTTTTTTATCGATTTCGAAAGATTCGGACAATGAATGAGAAGAGCATCTTCTTGAAAAATACAAAGTTTCTCTTCAATGCCAGTGGGTTTCCGTAATGGATTAAGGTATTTTCTTTGCGGGGGAACGTAGACTTTTATAGCGGGGATGATTGATTCAAGAAAATGTTCAAAAGGCAGGATGATGTATACAGGTGATTTGAGAAAGTAACATCGTCTAATGCTGCCGCGACAGCTATGAATATAGAAAAGGCTGGATGGAAAATAGAAACTTCATCTCACTTATTCCTTAGCAATCAAAATAAATCGCTTTAAACTATTAAACTCACTGCTCGTGGATGGTCGTCGAGGCTTATGACGATATATTTAAACAAAGTTTTAATCGACTGGAGAAGGAAGGGGAGGACGAGAAGGATATTTAAATCAAAGAAACATCAATTATTATTCATTAGAATTCTATAATTCTCCGTGATCTGACAGCGGTCTGTACCGGTGCGTGTTTACGCTGCCAAATTTAACTTAATCGCATTTAATTAAAGTGCAACGTCCCCGAGCGGCGGGCAGCTCGATAATTCGATGACTCGGCGGAAAATGTTTTCACAGTTCCAATTATTGGATCCCATCGAAGTTCTGCTTACGAGCATACGCATGACACTCCGCGCCCCCCGAGTACGTGTATAATCCGCGAATAAACGGATCTAAACCAGCATTTGTGAACCGCGTATCCTTTAAAGTTAGAGCTACGCGATGAACTTCGAGAGACGTTATATCCGCGTTTAGAATTTATCATGTCCCACGAACTTCTGTTATTCTCATTGCGAAATTAAAAGACGCGTGAAAAATTTCAATCACGTTGCAAATGCGCGACTCTTTTCCATGACTTTAAAAAAAAGGGGAGAAATCAGTTCAGGAGTTATTTATGACTCAGTCTGCAAAACTGATGCTTCTGTCATACAATATTCTTCTGTGCGCGTTTCTGGCGCGCCTCACTTTTTCCGTATGAACTTTCAGAACTGTTCCGGCTAATCGAATTGGTCACTTCGCCATCCGGTCGTTTGTGACGGTTGTTTATACGAACAGAAATAAAACAGACAAGAAAATTGAGAAAGGGTTTCAGTGGGGGAGTGAGGGAATTAAAAGAATGAAAAGGGGTAAAAGCGATGCCAGGGTATAGTGCATCGTTGAAAGGGAACACCACGAAGTTTCATTTCCGAGAAGGGCTGTAAAGATTGCTCGCGTGCAACCCTCCACAGGGTACGGCCCGGCGTTTCTCGCAAACTCGCGACTGTATTGCCCCATAATAATAAGGTTAATGCCTTGCAAATTAAGTAGAAGGGCGAAAGGTCTCTCGCGTGGCTTTACGTCTGTTTAAACCGCTCGAGCCTGATCTTTGTCGGCGACGCACGATTATTCCGATACGCCGTTAAAACGATCCCAGTTTTACCTAACTAGATTCACGTACAAATCTCGATGCGCATTTGCATATTCTTGATTGCTTTTGGCGAAACGTGGTCGAATCAGCGATGTCGGAAATGATGAATAATTTTTTTGAAAGCGATGCAAATCAGATATAACTTTCTTATATTTACGACGTAACATTAAAATTCCTCTCCGACTAGTATTACTTTACAATATAATTTTACTGAGGTAAGGGATAATCGAAAAAGTTATCGTCAACACGTGAACATAAGAATATCTATTATTGACGTGCAACCTATTCAATGCACGTATACAAGCGACAGGGGCGGTTATAGAGTTGACACAGAATCAGATTCTCACGGCTTGTCAGACATGATTAAGATATTGCGAATTACATCCGTATAACGCCGTATAACATTCACTTGACATAATCGTTGTAATAGGTGTTACGTGTGTTGCTGATAAATCTGTGATACCTGTCCCCCTCTGATTACCAAACAGATAATCTCAAAGAAATTCAAGATGATCGACCTTATTGCCTAAGATGCACCTAAAAAGATTTGCAATAATCTTTGGGTAAATTAAATTACTGTTTCTAGTTTCAACATTATTCTATAAATTATTACAACTACACAGTATTAAAGTATGTCCCTCGTAAATCGAGTTACGTTAGAAATTTATAAATGTGAAAAGCGGCTTAAACGAGATGAACTTACCAACTACTTTGAGGTAGCCGATCTGACTCTTCATGGGATCCGTATTAATCTGACACATGTACCATCCCCTGTCGGATTCTTTTACCTCGCGTATATGAAGGTACCACGTCCGGTGGTCACTGTGAGAAACGGCTATCCGATGGTTCTTCGTGATAACGTGATTCGCTATCGTTAATATCGTCTGCGTATCCACTCGCAGCCACGCGACCTGTAACGACAAATTCAACGATATAGTTTATAACTTGGCTTTTACGATCGCACGCGTTACGTCAAATTTCCATAATTCACGCTGTACATTGTATCACATTGAATTTTGTGTTACGGATTATTTAGTTGAATGATGAGCGATCTCCTCCTAATCCATTTTTATCGGAAGAAAAAGAGAGCACTAAATTTGAACGACCTGAGAAACAGCTTGCGTCTTCCGGCACACTCGTGGCTTTAACCACGTGGAAAAAAGGAGCCGAAAGAAAAAGAAGAGAACGTAAACATTCTCTCCTTGTCGTCGGTGCACTTTGGCATCGGTTGGCAAAGAAACGGGGAGGTAGAAGAAAGTCGTGGGCGGGAAAAATGGAAACGCGAAAAGGCCACCGTCGCATACAAAAGCGTGGCCGTTCACTAGCGGTAAATCAAACTGTTAAGAAAATGTGATCCGCTTGCAAAAAGAGAGCCTGAAAGAGTACGGGAAAAAATATTGAGAATCAAGGAGGTGGGAACCGCCATCCATCGAACTTATTCAGTGTTTGGATGTTGGCACATGCGAACGTGACCACAAAAAATATCGCGTAGTCCCGGTCTCCTCCAAATCGAAATCAAATTTCATTTTCTCGACGTATTTTTATGTCTCATCCTAATTCTTATGAGAATTTATTATAAGATCATGACTAGCTCTAATCTCTTATATTATAATGCCGATGGCTTGGGTTTTATCATTTAATAGTACCTACACGAAGCTGTGTAGCAAAATCTGGTATCACGGGAATGAAATTTAAGCTCGGATCGAAGAACGTTTTATTGGAAGAGCGCAGCTACGTGCCAATACTTTTTGGTACCACCGCGTGTATACGTTTCGGCTGGTGCCCCTTTGTACCGCGGTTACCAGCATACGATCACGTATTTTCCACGCTTATGTGCGCGGCACGCGTTTCGCTATTGGCGCCGGCAATATTTTCGTTCACGTGCATCCGCCTTCAAAGGCGAAGGATAATGGAATTGCCGTTTCGCCGGGTAAATATTTATCCGGGATATCCTTTAGTCCTGTAATTTTTAGAATGACTCTCGCGAATGGCATTCTACCCCCCGAGGGTCGCTACCATATTTCCTTTGGATCCGCCGCGGATTTCTCGGGTTAACGATCAGAGATTCGTGATGAATCTCTCTGATAAACCAAACAGATAGATTGGGACGACAGTCGATAACAACCTCTCAGGCTCACATTTTCAAATACAAATTTAGTTTGTATATACATTATTTTTATATCATAAAGTATTTTCAAATCCACAATACAAGTATCGTTTATAAATTACAATGAAACGAGCGGTGTACCTGTGCGCATATACATATTACATGGACGTGTCATGTGTATTCATGACATTTTTTTGCAAATGCGCACACGGTTTGATGATTCTCAGTCGTTATCGTTTTTATATCTCCGCGACAATAGGAACGGCGGATGAAAAGTATCGCGAATGCTATCAATACTATATTCATTGTCCGCGTAATCGATACACGCTGATATTTCCATGAATGTATCAAATGGATATCGATCCCGCGTGATGCATACGCGTTTGAAGCAATTCATCGGGCAATAATACTTCAACGGGCTGACATATCTAGCTACTATTGATTTGACATCACTTCCTTCGCCGTCTGACAAATATGTTCCACGGTGCGTCCGAGAAGAAAAAATACTTCATTGTATTATAAGAATGACGGATGGCAATGTTTTAACGAAGCTGCTTCTGCTCATGCGATCGAGATGGGAGAAATAATTTCAAATTAATACGACGGAAGAGGCTTCTCTTGGGAGAAGATCTGAGTATACAGCATAATTTCAAGTTTGAAAACTTGTTAGTGGACAGAGAGGACAGTCTGACCTTTCCACGGTGGCTCGCTATAAATTTATGTTCATTCAAATTCAATGTGTATCGTGGTTAAAAACTAAAGGGAAGCAAACGCTGGGCGTTGAAGAATAACAAGGCAGTGCGCGCGGCGCGTATTCGTAAATTATAGAAATTCGCGAGAGGAGCCGTAAATACTTGGTTATCATAGTTGGCGGAAGCACGGAGGGGTATTATACCTGCATTCACGTACATCGCGGCCAGAGATGGCGGCAAGCGTGGATATGGCTTCACCGTTTCCATTCATCGGACTGGATATCAAATGCAATAGTTCACGGCACGCTTCCGACTAGGCGGTTGGGCCAGTCCTCGACCTCTGCCACCTAATCCGACCAGCCACCGTTTCACACCGGTCTCTGGCAGATTTACAGACAAGCACGGGGAAGGAACGGGGGAGGGGGTGTCCCAGTGATATCTGCATCCGAGACTCACGGACTAGTTCCACCTGTTCCGGAAACCCTCCGTACCTTCCTTTCCCTCTGCTACTTTCCGTCAACTTACGCTTTCGCCAAGACGTCTCGGAGAATACAGCGTCACCCGAATCAGTGGATAAGCTAGTCCGCTAATCGGACAGATCTCTCGCGTCCATGTTCTCGGACTTCTGACAAGGCCACAGAAACGGTATCGTGTCTCTGGTTATGTTTCGTGCTAGAATAGACTACCGTGGGACACGCAACGAGGAAAATTGCTGTGACGGTAATTAAACTAATACACTTAACGTTCGAATTGATAGCGACCAAACGCGAAAGATTAATCGAATTGAAGCGGGGGATAAATGAAAATCCTCGTTCACGCGTTTTGCGGAAAGTTCCGAGGACAACGGCATTTTACTTTCAACGGCATTACGCTGTGATTGTATCAATATTTTAATGTATAATGGGAACGTGTAACTGCGCGAAGGATCGCGCAAAGGTATTTATGCGTGTGTTCTACTGAAGACGATCGAGTTACGTTAGAAATTTATAAATGTGAAAAGCGGCTTAAACGAGATGAACTTACCAACTACTTTGAGGTAGCCGATCTGACTCTTCATGGGATCCGTATTAATCTGACACATGTACCATCCCCTGTCGGATTCTTTTACCTCGCGTATATGAAGGTACCACGTCCGGTGGTCACTGTGAGAAACGGCTATCCGATGGTTCTTCGTGATAACGTGATTCGCTATCGTTAATATCGTCTGCGTATCCACTCGCAGCCACGCGACCTGTAACGACAAATTCAACGATATAGTTTATAACTTGGCTTTTACGATCGCACGCGTTACGTCAAATTTCCATAATTCACGCTGTACATTGTATCACATTGAATTTTGTGTTACGGATTATTTAGTTGAATGATGAGCGATCTCCTCCTAATCCATTTTTATCGGAAGAAAAAGAGAGCACTAAATTTGAACGACCTGAGAAACAGCTTGCGTCTTCCGGCACACTCGTGGCTTTAACCACGTGGAAAAAAGGAGCCGAAAGAAAAAGAAGAGAACGTAAACATTCTCTCCTTGTCGTCGGTGCACTTTGGCATCGGTTGGCAAAGAAACGGGGAGGTAGAAGAAAGTCGTGGGCGGGAAAAATGGAAACGCGAAAAGGCCACCGTCGCATACAAAAGCGTGGCCGTTCACTAGCGGTAAATCAAACTGTTAAGAAAATGTGATCCGCTTGCAAAAAGAGAGCCTGAAAGAGTACGGGAAAAAATATTGAGAATCAAGGAGGTGGGAACCGCCATCCATCGAACTTATTCAGTGTTTGGATGTTGGCACATGCGAACGTGACCACAAAAAATATCGCGTAGTCCCGGTCTCCTCCAAATCGAAATCAAATTTCATTTTCTCGACGTATTTTTATGTCTCATCCTAATTCTTATGAGAATTTATTATAAGATCATGACTAGCTCTAATCTCTTATATTATAATGCCGATGGCTTGGGTTTTATCATTTAATAGTACCTACACGAAGCTGTGTAGCAAAATCTGGTATCACGGGAATGAAATTTAAGCTCGGATCGAAGAACGTTTTATTGGAAGAGCGCAGCTACGTGCCAATACTTTTTGGTACCACCGCGTGTATACGTTTCGGCTGGTGCCCCTTTGTACCGCGGTTACCAGCATACGATCACGTATTTTCCACGCTTATGTGCGCGGCACGCGTTTCGCTATTGGCGCCGGCAATATTTTCGTTCACGTGCATCCGCCTTCAAAGGCGAAGGATAATGGAATTGCCGTTTCGCCGGGTAAATATTTATCCGGGATATCCTTTAGTCCTGTAATTTTTAGAATGACTCTCGCGAATGGCATTCTACCCCCCGAGGGTCGCTACCATATTTCCTTTGGATCCGCCGCGGATTTCTCGGGTTAACGATCAGAGATTCGTGATGAATCTCTCTGATAAACCAAACAGATAGATTGGGACGACAGTCGATAACAACCTCTCAGGCTCACATTTTCAAATACAAATTTAGTTTGTATATACATTATTTTTATATCATAAAGTATTTTCAAATCCACAATACAAGTATCGTTTATAAATTACAATGAAACGAGCGGTGTACCTGTGCGCATATACATATTACATGGACGTGTCATGTGTATTCATGACATTTTTTTGCAAATGCGCACACGGTTTGATGATTCTCAGTCGTTATCGTTTTTATATCTCCGCGACAATAGGAACGGCGGATGAAAAGTATCGCGAATGCTATCAATACTATATTCATTGTCCGCGTAATCGATACACGCTGATATTTCCATGAATGTATCAAATGGATATCGATCCCGCGTGATGCATACGCGTTTGAAGCAATTCATCGGGCAATAATACTTCAACGGGCTGACATATCTAGCTACTATTGATTTGACATCACTTCCTTCGCCGTCTGACAAATATGTTCCACGGTGCGTCCGAGAAGAAAAAATACTTCATTGTATTATAAGAATGACGGATGGCAATGTTTTAACGAAGCTGCTTCTGCTCATGCGATCGAGATGGGAGAAATAATTTCAAATTAATACGACGGAAGAGGCTTCTCTTGGGAGAAGATCTGAGTATACAGCATAATTTCAAGTTTGAAAACTTGTTAGTGGACAGAGAGGACAGTCTGACCT